TACTTTAGATTCTTTTGTTATTACTAGTAGTTGAACAATAAATCAAGTTAGCACTAAAACTTTTAAATTTGGAATTATTAAAATGGTAGCAAATAACAGAGTTTTGTTGATTTCAGTTGGTTACAGGCCAAATAGGTAAAACTCTTGGATTTAGTACTAGACATAATTCTGTACACAATTTGATAAATAAATTTGTTGAAAAAAAAAGAAAGCTGAAATAAAGGAAATATTATTACAGAAATTTGTTTATGTTAAAATAGATGCAGCCACTCGACACCAAAATAACTATTTGGAAATAAATATTCAATATTATTAAACAATGCAGCCAATATGATTAGAGCAATCACAATTTTAAACAAATATTTAGGTGATGAAAATTTTTTTGAGATGAAGCTTTGCATCATTAAGAAAATGTGGAGTTTTTACAACAGGATACAAATGAGGAAGAAAGTGAAGGAGCTGAGGAAAAAAATCTAGCCTTTATCAACCCAGAATTGTATCAACAATTGTCTACTGACATTAAGCTGATGTGTTATTCACACTTTGCAGCTAGCTATTGGTATGATTTAAAAAAAACATAAATTGCCCAACTTTTGGCAAAAGTCTGTCAGATTGTAAAAAAGCTAAGAAATTTACATACAATATTTTGAGCAAGGAAGCAATACAAGATTGTTTTAATTTTGAATAATGAGACACGCTGGGGTTCTACATTCCGGATAATTGAAGGCTTATTATTTATGCGTCCACTGTGTGAGCAATTTGCAGCAGTTGATCAGATATTTTTTCTACGCCCTGAAAAATGGAATAAATCTAGTCATCTTTGCAATCTTTTAAAAAAGCCACATGATGTGACAGTTAATCAACATTACTCCAGGAGGGTTCGTAAAGGAATGGTAGAAATTGAAATCTGACCTAGAGAATAATCAAGGACTATTTGCAGAAGACTTTTAAAAATCTATGCAGAAACAAGTAGAAAAACCTTTTGATAATGATATATTTCTAGCTGCAGTTCATGTTGATGCTAGATATACAATACTATTGGAAGAAAGCCAAATATTACGAGCAAAACAAGGCTTAAAAACAATAGCAGAAAAAATTTGTAAAAGCAATGCCTATAATATGATAGTAAGTCATGAAATAAGAAAAACTGTTGTGCTATCTACAGTACTTCTTTCAGTTTTAAGTGAATCTAATTCTGATGGAGAAGAGGATGAGATTGAAAAGGAGCATGATAAGTAAAAAAGAAAAAAGAAGAAGTGTGACCAAAATTAATTTTGGTCACGCTTCTTTTTTCAATTTTTTTGATAAAAATACTTATAATGAAAAAAATAAAACATTCAAAAGGATAATGGAAGAAATGGAACATTCAAAAGTGAATTCTGTTTTTGCGTGAATTGAAGAATACCCAAAAAGAATACAAGAAGCGTGCAGAGTTGTCTCTTGTATAGCTATCTCACAAGCAAGTGTAGAGAGACTACTTTTTGCTCTTAAGTTTGTATTGAGCAATCTGCGTTCTTCACTCAAACCTGATATTTTCGATACTTTATTTTTAAGGATGAATCCAGATTTTGATTAACAAAATTTAAATAGTACTTAAATTACTGTCATAAAACATTTAAAAAAAGTGGAGTGGAGCCAGAGTCTGAAGCCAGAGTGAGTTTTTAGACCTTGGCTCCAAAGCCCTAATTTATTATTATTTTTTTTTTTTGACTAATAATTTTTTTAAGAAGATTTTTTTTCTTTTTTTAAAATAAGTTTGTTTTTTTAGTTTCTTTATAACTAAGTTAAAATGTTATTATAACTTTATTAAAATGTTAAAACTGTGGTCAAATTGTCAAAACAAAATATTATTTGCGTTGTTATATAAGGCCATGAAATCACAAGCCTGAAAAATGAAATATATCAATTATGCTATATTTGCGTAAAACATGAAAGAAGATGATTAAATTTACACAAATTTTTACAGTTTTTGTTTAAATTTGCCGCTTAAATTTACTTGAACAAATCTCACTCTGCTTTAGTTGCTTAAATGCCTTTGTTGCTTATTTTAATGTAATGTTATTTAAATGTTGCTTATTTAAATGTAAGTGCCTTTGTTGCTTATTTAAATTAATTTTAAAATAACATATTGCAATGAAAGTTCTTTTAACTAACAATCTATTTGATCAATATTGGCAAACCAAGCAAGTTCCTTATATGAAATTATTTAAACAACGATTTAAACAAGTTTCATTACTTATTGCTGACAATGTTATAAAACCTAAAATATTATATTTAATCCACTTTTAAACTTTAAATTTAGAATTAAATCATTAAAAAAAAATTAATGATAAAAATTGTAACATAAAATTTGATAAATAGAAATATAAATATCTATGTAAAAAAGTTCAAATTTTTTTTTTAAGTTTTTTAAAACTTTTAGTTTTAAAATACTTAAGTATTAAAAATGTGAATACTAAAAAACTTCTATATAATATACAGTGTTTTTATTAACTGTCTTCAATTAAAAAGTAATTTCAGCTATTTAAAAAGTTACAAGAGAATCATGGAAATCGTCAAAAAAGTTATGATTTGCCTTTAACTTTTTTTTAAATGACGGAATGCAATGAACTCTTTATTTTTGCTGCTTTTTATTTGCCAACTGACAACATCTAATTTCCCAATATCGCTAAAACGCTGTATAACATTTTTTTGCTGGCCTAAAACAGACTTGATGGACAATAAGCATTTTCGTTGGCCTAATATTTAGATTAAAAAAATTTAATTACGTTATAATAATAGTTTTTTAAGTTTTACACTGTAAACTAAAGATTACATATGAGTGGGTCAGAAGCAAAGGGATACAAGTGACATTTTCATAGTTTTGAGATACAGCTGTTCAAAGTTAAAGTATTTTTGTTAAATATACTCAGCTGTTGTTATGTTTTTCTAGTAGAAAGCAGCACAGGGCAGAGAGTCACTTGTATCCCTTGGCCAAAGCAACAATTTTGTTTGCTTCTTCTATCAAATTCTATACTTAACTTAATTTTGGTAAAATTGTCACTTGTACCCCTTGGCTTCTGACCCACTCATATTATAAATACATCAAAAAAACAAAAAAAAAACATTGTCAGCGATGTTTGTTTTTTTGATATTTATTTATTCAAGCATTAATACATTTTCTAGAAAAATTGTTAGAAAGAGATTTGCATTTGACTAAATATTTTAAACTCTTTTTTATTATATTTATATTTCTTTTTTAATGAAACAATTAATTATTTTATAGATATTATTTTGTATTATGTTTCTTTTTTTTATGTTTTAAAAGTTCTTTTGTTACTTTTTCTCTTAGTGAAACATTTTTTTCTAATTTAAAAATCTGAAATAGCTCCAATTGAGAAAACAAGTATATTTATAAGCAGAGACACTTCTGCAATTAAAACTTAAGTGAATGAGTTTGATTCATTAAAAATTGTTTATCATGTAATTCAAACTCTAACAAATTTTTATTATTATTTATTAAAAAAAAGATCCAAGTTGCTGTTTCTATCATTTTCACTTTGATTAAATTTTATTTTAGATACTGAAAATGCAACTATATATATTGTTTATTAGAATATATATATAATATATATATATATATATATATATATATATATATATATATATATATATATATATATATATATATATACACACATACATACATACATACACATACATACATACATACACACACAGATATATATATATATATATATATATATATATATATATATATATATATATATATATATATATATATATATATATATATATATATATATATATATATATATATATATATAATTTAAAGTTTATAATTAAAAATATAAAATTTAAAGCTTTTTAGTTCTTTGTTATTTTTTGAACTTGAGATTATTTAAAATTATGTCAAACATTTAAAAAAAGTCGTTAATTACAAACTTTTTTACCTTTAAGACGCTCACAAAAACATAAAAATGAATAAACATTTTTTTGTTTTTGTTTTCGTGTTATTACATGTTCATCACTATTTTTGCTTATGTAAGTAAAACACAACTGAACCTAAAAAACATTAAACAATGCTGTTTAATTTTATACTTAAACTTTATTTCGCTATTGTAAATTTACTTACACGCGTGTGGAGGCTAGCACAGGCAATTGCCTGTCATTACTGCAAAGGCAGTATATTATATTATACTGTATGTATATATATATATATATATATATATATATATATATATATATATGTATATATATATATATATATATATATATATATATATATATATATATATATATATATATATATATATATATATATATATATATATATATGAGAGCTTAGAAAAGCTCTCCTAAAACAAACTTGGGGAGCTGTGCGAGCTGCTCCTCATTTAAATCTGCACTCTTTTTTGGTTTTAATTTTTTTTGTTACAACAACCGTGCTCTTTAAAAAGCATTGCAGTATATTATGCAATTAATTTTTGTTTAAATGACATTGTGTTTTTATTTTAGTTATAACAATAATTATACTTTTGTAAATAAAATTATAATTTTGCGAGAGCCATAAATTGCTCCCGCAAACCATTTTAGGGGAGTGTAGGCGAGAGCTAAAGTTCTCGCTTCCCGCCGAGTCCTGATATATATATATATATATATATATATATATATATATATATATATATATATATATATATATATATATATATATATATATATATATATGTATATATAAAACTCACTTTATACTTAATATTATTAGCATATAACAATACAAGTTTAGGCAATAGCATACTTAAATATATTGATTGCAAATGTCTGGTCTGCTAAAATTGTACTACTTTTATTTTATATTACTATTGAATTGATCTCAATATTTAACATACCTGTATATTTTTTGGTATAGAAAAACTTATCAATTTATTAAAAAAAATTTTTTCAACAAAATATTCAAATTAGCTTTTTTATATAATAAAAAAAAAATTATACAAGTTTACCAATTCTTTTTCCAAACATTTCTTTCCCATGCATATTTAGAACGGCTTCATCTGCAGCTGCTTCATCACAAAACTGTATAAAGCCATAATTGTTGTGCAGAGAAATACTTTCAATTGCACCAAATTTTATAAATATTTCTTCAACTTCCCTTTTAGAAGCCTTATCAACAGCAAGATTCCCAACAAATACACGCCTACGTACTGCATTAGTGTCATTGCTGTTAGTATCTCTACCTAAATTTCTAACACCTCTGTTTAAAGGACTGCGTGATCGATCTCGATTCTTGCTATCTGATTCTGACATTTTTATTGTTTATTGATATTACTTTTAAATTTTAAACATTGGATATTACTTGTAATTTTAAAGACTATTTTTATGTCTAATATTTTAACAACAACTTATTTAATAAAATAAGATATAACTGTGAATTAGAAAGAGAGGAAACAAAATTTCATAAAAAGATACCATTCTACTATTAAACTTTGAAAAAATCAGTGTTAAAAGTTTAATAATAAAATAAATTTATATTTACTATAAATTTCTGAACTTTTATCTATCAATTTATTTAACCATAAAATCAAAAATTACAATTTTAATTATAATTTACAAAGTTAGGTTCGGCGTCACTCATATAGTTAAAAACTAGTCAATGAAGTGACACCTTAATAAAATAAACAAATAAAATAAAAAAATACTAAAACAACGAAAGTAAACAAAATTAATACAAGTAATAAAAAATGAAGTAATAGGAACAAAGTATTAAAAAAAGTTAAAATCAGAACAAAAACATAAAGGAGTAAGGCTAAGAAAAATTAAAAAAAGAGAAAGTGAACGGATGAGATAAGATGAGTGAGAAAAAAATGTAAGAGAAAAAAAAAAATTTTAATCACATAAGTTCAGTTGGATAGAGTGAGAGTAAAAAATAAAAAAGCAAAATAAAGGGAAACTTAAACAAAAATATATACATACACTACTACATACAATATTAAAACCTATATTACTCATGGATTACATAGATTTGTTAAATAAAAATAAATATCAAGATATAGAAAAAGCAACAACAACTAAATTGAAAAAGAAAAATGCAAAAAATAAAAAATTAAAATACATTCAACATTTTTTATATACATAAATACGCAACATTTAAACAATGTACAAAATTAATTTAAAATGTTCTTTTTCTTTTCTTTCCATAAAATATTGGTAGAAAAAATTTTAGTTCTTTTTTATTATTTTTCTATTATACTAATATACTTTTTTCTTTTAATTTTGTTTTTATTTGTTTTTTTGTTTTTTTCTTGCTTTTTATTTTTAATTAAACCTTTTATTCTTGTTTATATACTTATTTTTTAAACTTTTATTACCAAAATGTTTTTTGATTTTTTTTTTGAAAAAGTTTATGTATTAAGTTTATGTATATATTAAAAGTTATGACAAATCAATATCAATATTTTTAAAAAAAATATTTCAAGGATATTAAAAAATGATAATGAAAAGCTGTATTTATGTATATAAAATATAATAAAAACATGAAACATTTAAATGGATCCAATTTTGGGTAATAAAGGTCATAATGTAACATAAACATAACAGTGTAACAATTATGGATATATAACATATAAGATGGTCTATTATGTTATAGTCTGTGACCTACACAGACTATAACATAATAGAATTTAAACATATAATAAATTATTATAATAATATACATAATTTATAGCAAATGCTTAAACATTTGCATGCAGGGCAACTAAAGAAGCCCCGCTATGAAAAATGTCAAGTTTTTTTGTTTTTAATTAAAAGTTTTGGAAAAAATAAGTCAAGTTGATTTTTAAAAGCGTTAACTGAGGCAGATACAATGGAGTTTGGAAGAATGTTTTAGTCAGGTATGATGCAATAACAAAGGAAGAATTCTCTTTTTTGGTACTGCTTGATGTTGAAGACAATGACGTTGGCCACGGAGGCTGTGGGCTGGTCCTTGTACGTTTAGTGCTGGAGCTAGTGAGTTTGTTTTACAAAGCTATAGTTTGAAAAACTGCATTAGGTCACCCCTATGCCTTCTATTCTTAAGCAATTGAATGTTTATTGCAGCTAGTATCAAAAACAGTATCAAAAGAACTTTTATACATAAAATATAATTTTCATATTTTATGTATAAAAGTTCTTTTGATACTGTTATATATTTGCATATATATATTTGAAAAACAATGACTCTGGCTAAATAAGTATTTAAAATATATACCTAAATAAGTTATTTACTATATTTTGAATTAGTTTGACCATTTCAAAAAAGAAAATAAAAAAATAATAATAAATAAACTGATAAGTATTAAATGTAAAGAAAAAAAAAATTATTGTTGGATTGTTTAGTTTCTGTTGTATTTTCTATTGTGTCGAAGTTGAATTAATGTTTTTTTGTTTGCCAAGTATGGTAAGTTTGTATCTGATGTCAGCTTTTTTGTTTTTGTATTTTTTTTTAATTTGAGATTTGTTATTATTGAAGTTTGTTTATTGTTTTTTTGACATTTTTTAAAAAAAAATTAATTATTATTATTTAATAATTTATTTTTTTTAAATGTATTTAATTGTATTATTAATATTGATAATAGTTATACATAATTAGATCTGTTTATTTTTATTTAAATAATTAAAAAAAAAATTTACTTAAACTTTAATTAAATTTGCAGCTTTATCATTTGTAAATATCCTTGAAATATCTTTATACAAAATATTTATTTGATTGATATTAATTTTTCATAAAGGTTCAGAAGTTTCATGTATATATAATATATATATATATATATATATATATATATATATATATATATATATATATATTATTATTATTATTATTACTCAACTTTGAAATTATTAACTAAACATGAGATGATTTTTTGAGTTACAGTATATAAATAACTGTATTCATGTTAATATATAAATATAATATACGAGTCTAAAATATAATATAGAACTAAATTATAATATAAAATTAGAAAAAAATATGAAACATTTAAACATATTTTGAGATCAAAATGTGTTCTTGTTCTATTTTAAAGCCTGTTATTTAGCATTTTCAGCTTCTTTTTTAAATGCTCTTTCTTTTTCTTTTTTTATTTATTTTGTATTTTAAGTGTTTATTATTACCTAATATTACTCATGTACTTGTAATATGTTATACTTTTTCTCAAATTTATATTTTTAGTGAATATCTGTAGGTCGTCACGTTTTTTGTCAGTTTAATAACTGTTTGTGACTGATCCTAACTTTGTATTTACTTTATAAAGTGAAATAAAATGATTGATTGATTGTTGAGCAACAACTTTAATAGAGCTAATTTAGCTGAGCAACAACTTTAATAGAGCTAATTTAGCTGAGCAGCAACTTTAATAGAGCTAAAAAAAAATTATTTACTGCTACTTATATGCTATTGTTAAGTAACATTATATATTATAATTGAATTTTTCACTTTAAATATTAAAATTCCTATATCCGTTATTGTATTATTTTGAATTTGAAAATGAAAGTTTTTAAGGAGTTGTTTATTAATAATATTTAAAAATTAAAATTGCTTTAACTTTAGATTATGCTAAACAATGACATAATCTTAAGAGTAAATCTTTTTATAAATAAAATTCAACCTTCAAAGCGATAGTGAATAAAAAAATACTACAACTTTAATAAAAATACTAGTGAGACTCATGTTGATACAATCACGACAGAAATTATGACTAAAAAGCCTGGAGCCGAAGCTTGAGGGACTTTGGTGGAACCTAGGCTAACTTTAAAAAAAACACCACCGCTATCAAGCCTAATAAGTAATTTGCAATATAGCTATTCAGTTTATTTTTAAATTTTTGAAAAATAAATCAGATCTGCGCACAGATAGTTATTAAAATTATACAAAAAAAAACATCTATAAGCAATATTCAAATAATATATATTTTACCATATTTAGACATAAATATGAGTTAAACAATGATTATAAGATTTATAAAAGTATTCGAGTAAAATGCAAGTTAGTCGAATTATTTTTTTGTTTAAACAGGTAAAAACGGCCATTTTGATAGCGAGTTACACTTTTTCTGAATAGAGCATGCGTATTTAAAAATTTTAACACGAAAGCAGGCCTTTTATGATTTTTTTTAAAGGGCGCAATGAGAAAGCGTCAAAAAGATAAAGGGAACACTCATTAGCGATCATTAGGGATCGTCCATAAAGTACGTACGCTCGGAGAGGAAGAGGAGGTCTGCAAATGGCGTTTCTGAGATAAAAAGGCAGTAGGTCATTATAAAAGTATGGTGACACTAAATTTAAAAAAATATCATAAAATGTTGGGTTAGTAGGTTAAAAGCGTAGGTACTTTTAGGGAGGTAGAGAGTACTCAAAAAAGCATTCGGTAAATTGCGAGAGATTGGTAAGACCTTAATGATTTTGTTTGTTTAGCTTCTTATATCACAAGTTAAGTAACTTGGTTACCCGATTACCCTTCTTTTAACAAGATGCCAGTAGTTCATGTGCCAAAAATAGATCATTAAAACACACACACACACACACACACACACACACACACACACACACACACACACACACACACACACACACACACATATATATATATATATATATATATATATATATATATATATATATATATATATATATATGTATATATATATATATATATAAGTATATATATATATATATATATATATATATATATATATATATATATATATATATATATATATATATATATATATATATATATATATATATATTTATATATACATATATATATATATATATATATATATATATATATATATATATATATATATATATATATATATACATATATATATATATATATATATATATATATATATATATATATATATATATATATATATATATATATATATATATATATATATATATATATACACATGTATTAAATTAATTAATAAGCCCTGTGTGTATATATAAAAACACAGACCCCTAAACTTGTTCCGAAAACATACAACCAACTTCATCGTCACCTCATGCATGAGAGGGTAATGAACTTCTGCCAAAAAGTATAAACAGTAGTTGGCTGTGACCACTGGAATGTCAGTTACCTATATTTAAAAAACTGCTATTTATTTATACTGAAAAATCAAAATGAATAGAGGTAAGTGAAAAGATAAATATATACTTTGAATTTCACAACAAAAAAAAACAACAACATTTGACAATCTAATTATGTTATCAAGTTTATCTCTTTATCTTTTTGTGTATTACACCAAGACCATCATTAAATTTACTTTTTGAAATTGTACCGATTTTTTGTTTTGGTGTTCTAAATACAGATCGAACTTTGTCTACTGTGAGCAATTCGTTCTG